ATATGTACTTGTGAAGACTGGGTGAGAAAACCGTCAAAAATGTAACATATGTACTTGTGAAGACTGGGTGAGAAAACCGTCAAAAATGTAACATACATAAGTACGAATTTGTGAAGACTGGAACTTTCAAGTTATTTTTACCAAAAAGCATACAAACAATATAGTATTTATCTCAATTTTTGATTTTATATTATGATGTCTATATGCTGTTGTTAAAAACATGAAAAATAAGAAGGTACACCAATCTTTCAACAGAAGATTTCATGAAGATATAATTTAAGAATAATGCATAGAGACTATTACAGTACTAGTACTACTGTAAATCATTCACATCATGATTTTTTTTTAATTTTTTTGCATTCCAGAGTCTAACATGAATTTCTTTTGTGAGAAGTAAGCAATACAGTAACAGGATATGAAGTTATACACATAATATTACCATGAAATGATATATTACCATGATAATATTACCATAATATTACTTTATAAAGACAACACTTCTAAAGAATCCAGTGTTTCCAATGTTACAGATGTACAATGAATTTCTAATTTTATTTTTGAATATTAAAAAAATTAATTTTTCAATTTTTTTAATAGGTAGGTACATAAAATTATTTTCAAAATTATTTATTCTGTCAATGTATTCATGCATTGCCTCCAACTTCACACAAGTGTGTAAAATTTCATATCAATTGGACAGGTAAAAGTGTGTCAAATATCAATTATAAGATTTGTAGCTGACAAAATTATTTTTATTCTTAAAATTATTTATTTTGTCATTTGATTCATGCATTGTCTCNCACTGTGTGCGTACCCTTAGACGGGAAAACTCAGGCAGGATCTCACCTGAGGCAGTAGGTCCTGTAGTCCAGCAGTTCAGTAGCAGCGAGGGGAAAGCGACAGCGGTTAGTGTGGCGGTTACGAGGCAATTTAATGAAAAGCAACGAAACAGGATAATTAATATAATTAAATAAAATAATTACACTTGTCCGTTGACATTGGAAAATTATTCCTTAATGAGCAGGCATTGGCTAAGAGAGTTAAGCAAATGCACGTCAATTTGAAATCGTTTTGGACAAGAAATTTATTTTGTTAGTAACGCATTGAAATTTATAAGCAGAAGCTATAAAAAAATTTATTCACTGAGGAATTATTATGAATAAATTTAGATGTTAGAAATGAAAGTGTTGTTTTAGAAGTAAAAACATAGTTTTAAATATCGGATATATAAAATATCGGAAAAATTTGTGCAGAGAAAAGATATGGTGTGAGACATTGGCTTTAAAGCAAGGTTAGCTATTTACCGATTAAAATTTAAATCCAAAAATGAGTATAATAGTCTCCTTAACAAAAGACAGGTAAAGCAGTGAAGTAACTGTTATAGGAACAAGGGCGGTAATGCCAAAAAGGAAACTTGGCGGTTTTTTTCTCGTTAGATTTAGCTCTAAAGGACGACAGTGATTGGCAGAGGGTGTTGGAAACTTGTAGGTACCGTACTTCTGATAGTACAGCCCCCCATGGTTGCATGACAACAATTAACCACACGAGGAAGCCCCCACCTGCAGCACTAGGGGCGGGTACTCGTCATTGTGAGCGATGGTGACAGTGTTGTGCAGCGGCTGGCAGACGAGGTCACGTGCTGTGTCTAGTAGGTGAGCGCATGCGCGGTCACTAAACACGGTGTCCACGTTCGCTGCGTACTCCAGGATGGATCGCTCTGACTTGTTGTAAAAGCCTGAAAATATTCAGAATTAGATTTGTTTGATGGAGATGATTTATATGATCTGTATTAGTGCGGATTAAGAGTACCGTAGGTGAGAGCATGCACGGTCACTAAACACTGTGTCCACGTTGGCTGCGTACTCCAGTATGGATCGCTCAGACTTGTTGTAAAAGCCTGAAAATGTTCAGAATTAGATGCGTTTGATGGAAATATAATAATTTATATGATCTGTATTAATGCGGATTAAGAGTAGATGAAAGCATGCACTGTTACTAAACAGGGTGTCCACGTTAGCTGCATACTCCAGTATGGATCGCTCAGACTTGCTGTAAAAGCCTGAAAACATTCAGAATTAGGTTTGTTTGATGGAAATAATTTATATGATCTGTGTAAGTATGTATTGAGGCACACACATTTGGTTGAATGGACTCATTCCATGATATGCATGCACATAAACTTGTAATATTTTACTTCATTCTGCACTAAGAAATAGAATCACAAATTTATGACAAAGCTCAATAGCATTGAGAGAGTAAGCGATTTTCAATAGTCCAATAATTCAATTTTATCAGCCTAAATATCCTATTTGGATACTGAAATGAATGTCCAAATGCTAACAAATGCAAAAAAAAATTATTCCTTGAGCTTTAATTAATTAATTTTAATATAAATGTTAAACGATAATTTTTGCTGCCACGGCAGCAGAGTCGCTCAGTCCTCCCTTAATAATAAGAGAAAAGGTTTTCCTTACAAAACGCTATTGAACAACTATTATGTAATGAGAGGAATTTTTTCAAACTTCACAACATTCTAATGAATATCTGTGCTGCTATTTTCCTTTGACATGAAAACAATAGCAAAAACCATTTGTATTTACAATCTATAGATCCGTTTACCCTCCCTTCGTGGAAAAACTTGGAGATTCTCATAAATAGAAGAACAACTGACATGTAATGAAAGCTAAGGATAACTCACTGATTCTGACGAGCTTTCGTTCTCCCTCCCTTCATGGAAAAACTTGGAGATTCTCATAAATACCAGAACAACAGACATGTAAAGAAAGCTAAGGATAACCCACCGATTCTGACGAGCTTTCGTTCTCCCTCCCTTCATGGAAAAACTTGGATATTCTCATAAATAGAAGAACAACTGACATGAGAAGAAAGCTATAAGGATAACTCACCGATTCTGACAAGCTTTCGTTCTCCCTCCCTTCACGGAAAACTTGGATATTCTCATAAATAGAAAAACAACAGACATGAGAAGAAAGCTAAGGATAACCCACCGATTCTGATGATTTTTCGTTCTCCCTCCCTACAAAGAAAAACTTGGAGATTCTCATAAATAGAAGAAAAGAGAAGAAAGCTAAGGATGACCCACCAATTCTGACGAGTTTTGCATGGAAAGCCTCCGTGGCAAGTTTCACTTCATCAAACTGGTCGAGATTCTTTCGAGACGTGGGCACAGCACAGGCAAGACATTCGTTGATCAGTAGCCGCNTCTTTCGAGACGTGGGCACAGCACAGGCTAGACATTCGTTGATCAGTAGCCGCGTGAACGTCTCGCTAATCTTGGATGTGAAACGAATACAAGCATGAACATTTGAGTGATATTAAGTAACTACGAAAGCTTTATTTGCTAATCAAAATCTGTTTTTCATTTTCAAGAGTTTTCAGATGATATTGTTCTTTATTCTGATCATCAAGTGAACAAAAGAGGAAACTGTTGCATTACTTCATGGCACTCGCAATTTCTCGTATAGTTTCTTACTTAGCAACAAACATTTATTTTGTAATTTATAAGAGTATTAAACTCGAGTGATCATCAGGCTACGCAAATAACACACCTCTTGACCCAAGAGTGTCATGAGTGACGTGCTCGCGGTAACTCCTGAAGTGTCCACGGCACTCGCGTCAAACTCGGAGCTGAAGCCAGAATCATAGAGACACTTCAGCACCTGCAACACAAATTAGGTGAAGCTCCTCTATTTAAACAATAATTTCACGACTATATTAGAAAAATATAACTCAGTACTCACTGCAGTGAGTGACAGAGAGCGCATTTTCTCGTCGACGAAAACGTAAAGTCACGGACGGACAGACTGACAGACGGACATTGCGAGCACAATAATGAATTTTTTCCATAAATGAGAAAATGCGCTAAAAATAGGAATCATGTCCGAGAATCAGTTCATTTATTTTAATTTTATCAAAGACACAAGTAAAAATATAAAAAAACTTTTCAAGCATTTCCACAATTCAAGTCTTAATTGAGCCACTATTAGGACGCACTTTAGAGAAAAAATGAATTGAAGTGTAACACTTTAAAAAAAGATCTCTTCAAAGATTCTAAAGAGGTAACACGCACAAGTGTACGAATTTTTTTAACGAGATCTCTTCACTCTAAAGATCTAACACTCAAAAAAATATCTCTTCAAAGATTCTAAGGAGGTAACACGCACAAGTGCACGAATTCTTTAACGATATCTCTTCTCTCTAAAGATCTAACACTCTAAAAAAGATAACTTCAAAGATTCTAAAGAGGTAACACGCACAAGATTTGCACACGAATAAGACAAGAAGCACCTGTTCACAGCTAGTGAAAACTTCGTGAGGTGAAGGCTGCATGTTGTGTTTGTTAGAAGATTTGTTTAGAGGCGCAGTTGAGAATGTGATGGAGAGAGCATAGTAGTCACCGCTGTCCTTCAGAGAAACACGAGCAGGCCGGCTGACCAACACTCTGAACAAGATAAATAGTGAAATTACATTGACTGTACAAAAAATAAGGTAACATATAGTCTGAAGTGAAACATGGATCTTATTTGCCATTCAGCATAAAAAGAACATCGACTCTACCAAAAATAAAATCTCAACATATAGTCTAAAGGGAAACAGGGATCGATCTTATTTGCCATTCAACAATAAAGAGAACATACTCTCAAAATCAATGAAAAAAGCAAGTACGAAAAGAAAAAAATTTATTCTAGTCAGGGAAATAACTAGTCACTGATTTGAAATAAGACTAAAATGGAAAAAAACTATATAATATACTTCTCACTTGAAGAAATTTTTCATTAAGTTGCTACCAAAAACGGCCATTCTGAGGTGTAGCTCATCCACAACATAGAGGGCAGACGAGACTTGATTGATATCAAGAAGTTGATTTTCTTCAAGATCATTGAGAGCTTCTTGCTTGCATTTATCCCAGTTTCTAATCAAAAGAGTTATGGACTTTTTCTGTTCGTTTTGCATTTGTTCTTCCTTCCATTGGTAGGATTTGGACCAGATTTGCGAGAGTGTGTAGATAAGGTTATTTCGCTGTACCATGACCTCCTCTAGGATGCCTGGTAATATTTCGATATCTGGGGTAATTGTGGCGAGAATTGCATCAGCCTGAAACAAAGAAACGAAATTACTAAAAAAACACTGGGTTGATTGTGGCGAGAAGTGCATCAGCCTGAAACAAAGAAACGCAATTACACAAAAAAAACACTGGGGTAATTGTGCCGAGAAGTGCATCAGCCTGAAACAAAGAAACGAAATTACTAAAAAATATAACTCAGTACTCAATGCAGTGAGTGACAGAGAGCGAATTTTCTCGTCGACGAAAACTTGAGGTCACGGACGGACGGACAGACGGACAGACAGACAGACGGACATGGCGAGCACAATAGTGCATTTTTTCCATAAATGAGAAAATGCGCTAAAAACACGAGGAGTGCCTGCAATAAAAGTATCGTACTTATTATAAAAGTACCGGTATCTATTCGTAAATACTAGCATACACTAAGTTCATTTCCATATGATTTAGTCCCACCCCTAAAAATTTCCATGATCTAGAAACATGATTAAGAACAATTTTTTTCAAATAAGAAAGAATTTAGAGTTCCCTCTCGCCCTTTGGAATAAGCCCAGGAACCCAGGCGACCAATCTAAGAACTGTTTTTACTAATGTTATAACACACTGCACCTACAATCTTGCTGGCGACTTTTATTGTTCAGGCAAGTTTATAGTCCCACATGATGACGCGACAGGCAAAAGAATCAAACGAGGTTCTTACCTGTTACCTTTTCATTCTTAAGAATAGGTAACAACTAATCACAGTCACAGTTTACCAGAATGCATCTCATTTGGCTTTCATCATTTTGGTCACGTAGTAGTGCTTCTAGGTATTGAAGATAAAATATATATTTAAATTCAATCATTCAATAAGCTTGAAAGCACCTGTAGTTTGGTAATAAGAATTGATATAAATATCAATCAAATCAGTAAAACTGTTAAGGTATATACTTGGAGGGAACCACATCACCAAACCTCATTGGTAAGAAACAACCATCTTGTGGCAATACATTGTCATTACTTCTCCAGCGTCATGAAGATACGAATAACACAATACAGTAGACTAGACACACCGAGCAAGAGAAGCATTGCCGTATTTAAAATAGCTGGAGTACCAATCAGGCAAGAACATATAACAGAAGAACTTTAGAATTTTTTCATGAGTAGGTCTGAAGAAAAATAAGAATGTAGTCTGAATTCATGTCAGAAAAGAAAGCAGCGTCCTATGACAGATGCACGATTATTTTGAAACAGTGCATCTGTCTATCTTGGTCAACTGAAAATGCAAGAAGACAAGGAATGCCTGTCTCTTCATACAAAAAGAGAAATTGCAATGGAAAAAGAACAAACAAATTAATCCCTTGAGTGATAAAGAAATGTTGGTCCTAAGAAATAGTTGCGGGATAGCAATGTTTGCCATAAGTGCACAAGGTCTGATGAATTGTCTTACCACAGCCCATCTTCTCTATGAAAGGCTATTGAATTTTAGAATTAGGTCACTAAATTGCATGTTTTGTAATTATATGCATGGGTACTGCATATAATAATATAGTACATGGTATGGAAAACACTTTCTAGTGACTTAAAGCAAAGGAAAAAGTGCAATATCTACTTAACACTCGTGCTTTACAGTTCAAGAGGACGAGAAAGTGAGGACAAATTCAAGAGGACGAGAAAGTGGTTTTTTGAAAACAGAAACATTTCAATAATTTCCCACTATAGTAAGGACCACCTAACACAATATAAATCACAATATTGCAAGCAACAAAATATATTCTACTGAATTAGAATCAGACGCCAGAAAAGCAGTATGAATCTAAATGTTAGAGCATATTTAACCTTATTAAGAGCTATAGCAGCATCATAAAATCTTGCAGCAATGTTATGGTCTCCAGCCTCTCTGAGGGCATCATGTACAGCAAGCAGCTGCTGAGCTATTGCTAGTCCCTCCTCTGCCTGCTGGAGATGTGCGGCTACACCCGTCACTGCCTCCACACTCTGCGCCACTGAAGGGGATACCTCTGAATCAAGAGTAGTCTTAAGCTGATGTAGCTGCTCTTCATTCACTTCCACTCTGTAATGATAAAAGTATTAAAATAGACATTAATAAAGTGTCAAAAATCACATTCACTTCCACTCTGTAATGATAAAAATGTTAAAGTAGACATTAATAAAGTGCCATAAATCACATTCACTTCCACTCTGTAATGATAAAAATGTTAAAATAGACATTAATAAAGTGCCATAAATCATTTTTAAAAGAATGCCAAAAGTGCCCACCTTGATCATCGTTAATAAATTGGAATATAGTTTTAATAGAGGCCATGTCCAATATTTTTTGATAAGTTACGAAATGGAGATCAGAATTTGCAACTCTCATGGATTTGCCATACTACTAAAATGTTATGGCAAAAAAAAAAAAAAATGCACAATTCCTACACTAAGTAAAGTTTAACGTTTCACAATCTTAATCCAAGCTAGAAAATACATGGAACAGATGAATGAGGTAGGAAAGCCATTTGGTTGAATTGAATACTATACAAAGGCAATTAAATAATATTATTGATGGTTCAATATACAGAGGCAATTGATAAATATACAAAGTCTATTAAATGTAATAGTATTGATGGTCCAAATACAAAGGTAATTGATGAATATAAAAGTCAATAAAATTATAATATTGATGGTTCAAATAATTTCTCACCTGGCTTGTAGCAATGAAGTATCTTGTAAGGCTGAGCTGAGTTGCACATACCGTCCATTGAGTGCCTGAATGACAGCTAGTTTAGCTTCTACAGCCCTCTTGGCCAGCACAGCCACCTCCACACACACACCGTCACCACTAGCACTGGAACCTTCGACTCCACTACGTTTCTCTGTGAGAAAACCATCAAAAATGTAACATATGTACTTGTGAAGACTGGAACTTTCAAGTTATCTTGGCCAGCACAGCCACCTCCACACACACACCGTCACCACTAGCACTGGAGCCTTCAACGCCACTACGTTTCTCTGTGAGAAAACCATCAAAAATATAACATATGTACTTGTGAAGACTGGGTGAGAAAACCATAAAAAATGTAACATATGTACTTGTGAAGACTGGGTGAGAAAACCGTCAAAAATGTAACATATGTACTTGTGAAGATTGGGATCAAAAATGTAACATATGTACTTGTGAAGACTGGGTGAGAAAACCATCAAAAATGTAACATAGTTGTAAAAATTGAAACCTTCAAGTTATTTTTACCATAAAGTGTACGAATAATATAGTATTTATTTCAATTTGTTATTTATGTACTTGTGAAGACTGGAACTTTCAAGTTATTTTTACCATAAAGTGTACGAATAATATAGTATTTATTTCAATTTGTGATTTTATATTATGATGTCTACATGCTGTTGTTAAAAAATATGAAGAATAAGAAGGTACACCAATCTTTCAACAGAAGATTTCATGAAGATATTATTTAAGAATATTGCATAGAGAGATTTACAGTAAATCATTCACATCATGATTTTTTTTCATTCCAGGGTTTAACATGAATTTCTTTTGTGAGAAGTAAGCAATAACAGGTTATGAAGTTACATACATAATATTACCATGAACAAACAAATCAAAAAGTGAGACATCAGACATGACAAGAAGTAGCACTAAGGCAAGCAGATACAGTAAGGAAAATTCTATATATTTCCACTACAATTTCCATATTTCTACTTACTTATAGATGCAAGAACGTCTGCCACAAGCGCCATGATCTACTCTTAATAGTAAAGCTTATTTATGTTCCCTGTGGCCCAGAAATTGTCATCTGAAACAAAATAATTATAGGATGATCACATTTGTTGAGCTTCAGATAGACTCCTGAGCACAGTACCGTAACTAGAGTAGGTAGTTAACATTTTTGCTATGGTACTAATTATATAATATAAATTTTTAATATTGACTTATTGACATGCATTAGTACTTTTTACCTATATTTTTTACCATGAGAATAAATAAACACATAAATAAGTCAAAGTGGATACCTTATTCTTCTTCTTCTTTGATGTAGGTAGCCTACATCAACAGGCTGACAAATCTGTTACACTTAATTTATTATTTCATTTTGAATTTATTAATTATATTACATTTCTAGGAGGACAACCCTATGCCAGAAGACATCCAACAATGCTGCCAAGACTGCATATGCAGGATGGCCATTTCATTCAGATATGGTTCGGGGGTAAAAATGTCATGTGGCGGTATTGATTTCTGCTGAAAGGGATGAGATACTGTTGATATTGGGACATCTTTGTATTCTGATTGGAGCAGCTGACAGTGGGGAGGTGGCTGGCATTAATGCTGGCTAAGTCGCGGTGAAACTTGTAAAATATACTAAGCCTAGCACACCTTCATGCCTTGCAACATTGGCCATCCCAGTATGTAGCATGCTATCTACACTGGAAGTCTGGTGGAAACGACGCAAAACCCACCAAGCTGCTCTTCATTACACTCTTGTGAGGGTGGTAATGTCATCTGCTGTATGAGGATCCCACACACAACTGGCATACTCCAGTATGGAGCAAACTAATGCTTTACATGGGGCTGCCCTGAAGGATTTGCAGGTGATCCTAATACTTTGCCTTTGCGCACCTGTGCAGCACTCCACATGCCAGCCCAGTCAGCCTTACCATAACAGGGCACCTATCTGGCTACCTGGGTGGTGTGGACAATTTTGAGTTGGAGCTCAGAGTACCTACATAATGTCATGGTCAGAGAGGCCAAGCACTACCTACCATCAAACAGGATAATTAGGGATAGGCAGAGTAATAAGGGACAGGAAGATTAAAAAGGGACGGGCAGGTTAATAAGGGACAGTCAGCCCACATTTCATAGAAATAATGTAGCAGCTAAACTAATTGAAATATTGTACAACTAAAAATAGTGGCATGAAGTTTAACATCTTTACTATCTGTGTAGCATAAAGCACGTAAAGAACTCATACATTTACTACCTCTAAAAAATCCCTCAAAAAAAGTGTGAAAAGTGAGATTTTGGAAGAGTACAGTACCACTGCTAAGGTCTGTAGCAAAATAAAAATATTCATTGTATTAAAAAAATTTACTTGCATAAAAGTTGCACACAGGTGTAGGCTTAAAAACACTATTGACAGAATTTGCATAACTCATCTCCCAAAAAATGGTGTTCATTTCTGCAAGATAGGGTAATAAGGCACACCGCTAGAAACGGATCTACAGTAGAACCTTGGCTCAAGTTAAAAAAAAAACAACAACAAAGAATTTCGATTACAATTACCTTACTCAGCAAAAAAAATTTCACTCAACAAAAAATTCATGCATCATTGGTCATCACAAAATTGTGCATAGAATGTCATAGATAGATTGTGCACTGGGCAACATAGAACAAAAAGTAATCAACTAAACTATGATTTATTTTTGTCCAAAAAATACGTACCTGAAATAGAACAGAATATTTTGGTAACAACTATCATAGTAGTTTGGAAGAAATTACTTGATCACTGTGAATTTTGGCCCTTATTGCCATGTAACTATGGCAAAATTCAAACAATTTTCCCAAGCAAAACATTATTGTTAGGTCCTAATGAATACGTGTGTCAAGTTTCATCAAGTTAAATTCATTAGTTTGAGAGATATTTCTTGATCATTGAATTTGAAAATTAGCTGTGAGACCGACCGCAAGTCCAGCCATTAATATGTCCGAGACGTACCTAACTAAACCCAGGAGAGGTTGAAAAACAGATCTGGGTGAAAAATCATTGCTGGGGGTCATGTGTGCTGCAGCCTGCAGTGCACATGTTGTGTATAAATTGTTAAACAAACATTCAAACTTTTAACATTGACTTTGGACTACTGCCCTCTTCTTCCAATTCTTGCCCAGACACTCTACTTAATATTTCAATCGATTTCTTATGTATGATGTATGATAATGCTGGTATGAAGTTAACTTCAAGTTATATCAAAGATACTTCCTATTCAGCTTTTATAGGCTTTAGGCTATACTATAGCACTCAAAAATAATCTTGAGGAATGGCAACAAAAATGTTTACCTTTGCCACTATTTGCAATTTTGCATTGCTGCATCAGATTTTTATTTTATTTTTTAACTAGCTACTTTGAACTAAGATATTAACTTGAAAGTTAGGTACTTGACAGTCCTATGTAGCATGGTGGCAGTGAATTATTGTGAGTACTTATCGGTCCACCGCCGTGCGTCGGTCTTAACCCTTCGCAAGGCCCCATGCCCTTGGCCCTTGGGCCCCTCTTGCAAGTTGTAATGGTCTAAACTCAACAGTTAATGCCGAACTGGACTCCCATCTTCATGCTAGCCATATGTTTACATACGTCACAAACGGTGACGTATGTCGTCCCACGGTGACGTCACACACAAGAACACGTGGAGACGAAAAAAAAAGCAATATTTCGCTGCACCACAAACAAATAAATGTAAATAATTGGTAATAGAAAAGTTTTTCTGGAACATTTTGAGAGACTGTGCCTAAGCAGAATACGATATTAATAAATTATTAGTGAAGACACTAACAATAAAGTAGTTCATTTGATGGCCGATGCTAGCGCTGGCATCTGAATACGGGCGTGCCACCTTTGTTTAGAATTCGAACAATTCAATATCTCACTGCAACACAAGTCAATACATTTAAAAAATTAGTAATGGAAAATATGTTGATGGAACACTTTATGAGACCGGACCTAAACAGAATACGATATTATTATATTATTAGTGAAGACTGAAGATACCAACAATAAAGTAGTTCATTTGTTTGCCGCTGCTAGCGCTGGCATCTGTAATATGTGAAGCTTCTATGGGTAATTTTACTTCTATGGGTACAACTTCTATGATCAATTTGAACCATAAACATTTACCTAATGCAAGAAATTAGCAATCAATAATTCAACGTTGTTTTGTAAGTTTTGTACCAACGGAACTATGGAAAACTACATTAATTACGTATTAGCAACTTAAGCTAAAAAAAATGCACTGTAACGAGAATCAGCTGTGAGAGAAGATGCCAGAAAGCGCAATGGATTCAATTTAGTCGTTTTTAATTTGAAATTGGTGTCAGTTCTTTGGAATAGGAGCATAAATTTCAGTGTAAAACCTATTAAAATTTTCGTTTCTGTGTGGATTTTGATGCTGTTAGCATTGAAATACTTGACAGTATCTCTGATGCAAGAAATACTGGCTAAATACATTAATGAAATTACATAGAAATTAATGTCAATCGAAAATTCGAAATTACTGCTGTCAGGGCTATGTTGGTTCTTGTGAACCGATTGTTGCATCCAGTCGCTTATATTGAAAATAAAATGATTTAAGCAAGTATTTCTTGCATCAGAGATAATTCAAAGTTTGCTAATGTTAACAGCATTATAATACATGCAGAAACGTACATTTTTTATAGATATTAAAAATTTAGGCTCTATGACTTGTATACTATGTCTATTATAGTCTATAGGATTTTGAATCGATGCATGCATTCAAATTCAAATTAGGTCCACCCACGCTCCACGGCCAGTGTAGCTGTCAGCTCACCTTCTTCAGAAGTGTGAAAGCTTTTGCCAGCAGCCGGTTAAGGTGTGTTTTACGATCGGTCCGTAAAGAAGCGTTGATCGGTTCAAAATGACATAAGAACAGGTTCTTTTGAATAACCTATGGATTGGCACCATGCAGTATGTAGTATGTACAAGCACAACGACAACAGTAGCAACAAGTAGTTGATGCCTTTGAGAGACAAGAAGAATCCATTATGAATTATTTGTAGAAATTTTTCTGGAGAATCAAGTCATGAGCAAAAAAATGGTGTTGAAAAATTGCATTTTCATACAGGAACTTAAAATTGCCATCCATAAATGAACAAACATAATAATTATGTGGTGCTGGTCTGCTGGATGTTGAACCAGGGTGAATTACTGGATGGGGAGAGAGGAAAAGAAGGTTCAAATTCAATGGTCTGACTCTGGGGAAGGGTAAATAGCTACCAAGACCCAAGTCATGACTCAGGTCTCAGTAACTGGTAGCCTACCGTGCCCGCGTCGCGTGCCGTCAGGCCCGTTACCATGGCTGACGGTGGCCGTGGTACTGGTAGCTGGTACGAGTATTTTTTTGAGAGATTCACAAATAAAACACGAGATTTACAAACAAAACACAATCAGTAAAACGTGGTTATGGTAACAGTATTTCAATATCAACAGCATTTCATTTCCATGCCACCAATGATGATGATGATGTCTTCTTTGAGGTGTAGTAGCTAAATGACCTCACACAGGTTGGTTGTCACACCTGGACATGACAATTTATTTCAGGCTTGTAGTTGCATTATCAGTTGGGGCCACATCGTTTGCTTTAATTATTGTGACCTCACAGGGTTTCCAATCTTCCGGTGCTTGCGAGGAATGCAGATAACGCCCCGATAATGAGGTGCTGCTCCCGTTTTGCGATGTCCTCACCTCCAAGCAGTGCGCGCACTGTTAGCTCCTCAATGCCAATGTTTTCCAAGGTCTGTCCCATACTCCCATTAGTTGACGAGCATCCCTGTAGCTGCTACATTCTAGCAAGAAGTGATCGATGGTTTCTTCCACTCTGCAATTCCCGCACAGTGGAGAGTCTGACATTTTGAAGCGATGCAGGTAAGCTTTTACCCCTACATGTCCCAGACGAAAGCGGGCCAATACAACAGCTACTCGACGGGACTGCCATGAATGAACGCCATATACCTACTAACTTTTCTTTCTTTTCTTTCTAATTTATTCTTATAGGAGCACTGGAAGC